CCCCCCCCCCCCCCCCCCCCCCCCCCCCCCCCCCCCCCCCCCCCCCCCCTCCCCCTCCCTCCATCCTCGATCCAACGAACGACACACATGGGCTTCGGTAACCGCCACCAGCGCTAGTACGTGCGGACCAGGTCTGGTTGAGCACTGTTGCGCGAACCTTGTCGCACGAGGTACTTACAGACGCTAGGTGTGATTCCGAGAGAACCCCACGAGCAAAACATCATGCCCCTGATGCAGAGGTCAGTACATATACGGGCCCTGTGTAATGGTTGGCAGGCCAAAGTCTATATTAGTCGATAACGTCTGGGAGCCCAACCCTAGGCGATACTCCACTGCCTAGCGCAGCCATACAGATGCTCCCTTCTGCATTCTGAATGGCTGATGCTGCCTGTGTTCGAAACTGGCTTTCGGCAGTGGATGGGCAAGTGACCAGTGCACCATGGTAAGCCAGGTTTCATGAGTGGGCAGGTTTCATTGCCGGCCACGCGCGTGAGCAGTCAGACCTCTGGCCAGGACACTGGGGGGATAACCCCTATAAGAAGCAGGCATCGTGTCAAGGGAGTTGCTGCAGCTTTAGAGTCGGTAGCATTGTTACAAATAAGCGTGACCCTCGTCAGCTGTCGCGTAAGCGCACCGGCGGGCTGATGAGCTGGGGCATTGGAAGAAGCACGAGGGTAGCGTATGACAGGGAATGTCGAAGCCTCAGCCTTGTGTCGGAAGTTGTGGGCACTTGCCACAGGTAATGCCTGCACCACAACTCATGTTTCTCTGCAACTCAAGCACTGACTGGCCTCTTGTGCCATTCCATAGTAGTCTTCTCTGGCGGCGAGTACGGAGAACCCTGTGAATTCATGTTTCTCTGCTTCGCTCGCCTTCCCGTATTAGTCTGCTCTGGCGGCAAGTACGGAGAACCCTGTGAAGTTCGTGTTGGTTCTGTTTCTCTGTCTTCGTTCCTCCGCTTCCCTCGTAATGGCAGTCTGCTCTGGCGGCGAGTATGGAGAACCCTGTGAAGTTCGTGTTGCTTGTGTTTCTATGTCTTTGTTCCTCCGCTTCCCTCGTCTTTCCTTAGTAGTCGAGTACGGAGAACCCTGCGAAGTTCGTGTTGCATCTGTTTCTCTGTGCTCGTTCCTCCGCTTCCCTCGTAATAGCAGTCTGCTCTGGCGTCGAGTGCTGAGAACCCTGTGTTGAAGTTTGTGTTTCTTCTGTTCTATGTCGTCATCCCTCTTCCCTCGTCTTCCCCTTCTCCTTCCTCCCTCCCTCGCCTCGTGTAGAACTCCCTCCCCTTCACTTTCTCCTTCCTTCCTCCCTTGGTGTAGCATTAATAATGATTGTCATTAAGAGAACAGACAAAACGTTAAGTTGCAGAAGTGCTGAAAAATGAACAGGAGTGTAACAGTGTACCCCTCACTTTTTCTCCTTTCAATAGCGTGCAAGTGGGCCGTTGTGGGCTGTGGGCATGTGGACAGCTTGTGCTCAATCACGTCAACATGGCAAGCCTTGCACGGGGGGAGAGGCACAGTTAAAGGTGAGCCACAACAAGAAACAAAAGAGAAGCTGCAAAACAAACGGAAGCAAGAACGCGAAGAAAAACCTGCACGAGGGGTCGTCGTGGGCCATGGGGATGTGGATAGCCTTGCGATCAACCACATCAACATGGCAAGCCTTGCACGCGAAGAAAGACCTCCCCTTTGAGAAGGCGAGCCACAACAAGAAACGAAAGAGAATCCACCAAAAAAAGCGAAAGCAAGGAACGCGAAGAAAGAGCTGTACGAGGAAAAGGCAATGCAACGGTGTCAGTGTGCGTCATGTTGTGTGCTATAGAAGACTCTAAGGTACAGCTGTTTCAATTTTGGATCTACCGATCGGGGTGGAAAAGGGGCTGTTGCAGTGACAATTTACAACGCAGTTAGGCTACCAGAGTAGCCCGGGGTCACTTGCCCCGCCGGGCCAAAAAAATAAAAATAAAAATTTATTTTTAAATTTTATTTTTTATTTTAAACTTCGTGAAGAATTGTTCGATGTGATCCTGAGGCAAAAGTTGTTCAGTTTATTTTTCTGCATAACATCGTTTTTTTTTTCGGTTTTTTTTTTTTTTTTTTTTTTTTTTTGCTGGGACCTTCCCTGGTCCTTGCACGGGCTGGCGGGCCACCTGGGACCCGGGCGGCCCGGCTGGTAGCCTAGCAACGCAGGCAAATACACGATGCATACACTTGTCTCTTGCCTGAGCTATGGTTGGGAACCACGTCAACATCCTGTGCGCTGTCGGCTCTGTAACATAAGACCTAGGGCTCACATTCTAGAATTTTTATGTCTCGACAAAATTTTTTTTCCGTGGCAAGGAAGGCACCATCGGTTGTGCCGCGGAGTAAGTCGCATGTGTGATGCCGCAGCCTGGAGGTGTCGTTTTCTTTTGACGGTCGATCTCATGGGTGGCTGGCGTTTGGACAGGTGTTCTGCTTGGAGCATCGGACATATCAGAATCATCAATGTGCCAATGCGAATACGGGCGACGTGGCAGTCCTGGTGTGTCCCATGTGTGCGAAATCAGTTAGGCTTGTACCGAATGAAGATCCAAACATCACGTGGGAGCGACATGTTCAGGATGGGTGCGATCCAAGCAATTACGAAAGATTGACACAGAAGAAGGCAAAATGCCCCGTTCCTGGGTGCAAGGAAGTGATGACCTTTTCGAACAAGGTGACGTGCAAAGAGTGCCACGTGGAAGTGTGTCTGAAGCACCGATTCGGACCCGACCATAACTGCCGGCCAGGGTCTTCCGGCTCGTCTAGCCATGGAAAGGGCCTCTCATCGCTAGGGGAAAAGTTCTTAAAAGGTTTGTCTACGCGTCTGTCTTCGGGCATGCCGTCCCTCAGCGGCGCGATGGCGGCTGTGCCTGCGAAAGCTTCTGCGGAGTACGCGTCGCCCGTGCCTGGAAAGAGCGGTCTGAAGTTGCCAAGCGGATTGTTCACGCATCCGCCAGCATCCGCAGGAGGTTCCGAAGTCTGCCCGCAATGCAGCACAACGTTTGGATCTGTTGAGGCGCTAATCGAACACGTAGAGTCGACTCATCCTGTAGCCGCCCCAAGAGCAGGAGGAGGGGCCCAGGGGGGTGCCGGCAGTGGTCTGCCACGTGTGCCAGTCGCTAGACCGATAGACAATGTGAATGTGTGCCCACAGTGCGCACAGGTCTTTGACGACCCCGTCGCTTTGGTAGACCATGTAGAAACGCAGCACAAGAACTCTGCTGCTGGCGTCCGGCGAAGTTTGGAAGCCACAGCCGAAAGGTGTCGTGTGTCCTAGCGTCAGCACGACAACGCGCCACGCGTTAGCATCTGTTGAAGTTTCTATTCGTCCTCTGTATTCTTTGCTTAGTGTGGCAGGGTGTCGACTCCGGCACCCGACCCTTCCGTAAGGAGGCGGTGCTCTCCTTGTGTGTGCCGAAAATCCTGCAGCTTCCCAGAGTTTGTCCTGAGGGGTGGTGGTGGAGGCGGAAGACAAGGAGGAGGAGGAGGAGGAGAAGGAGGAAGACAAGTGGTCTCACTTGTCGATAAACGCTCGCTCCTTTTCCACGGTTCGGCATGGTGCGGCACTGGCTCTGCCATTCTTTTGCCCATCTATGCGAAGATGAGTTGCTTGGAAGCGTCCAGCATCGGATATGCTGCTTGTGTGCATGTGGGACTTCAACAAAACGTTTTTCGTTGACTCAACTGCAGTTGGAAACCGCAGCGATTTTTTTTGGGATCAGATTGTACCCGTCCGTGAGGATGCGCAGTGTGCACGATGGAGGTAGTCGAGGGGGAATGCGCACCCTGCAAGAAGAGCATTGTTAACATCCGCACATCGCATCCAGCTCTTGCGTTTGTCTTTATTTTCCATATTATTTCCTCTTTAGACTCGTTGTGCTCACCCTATCTGGAGCCGATAATGACGGCTGGGATCAGGGGGAAGAACCTTTGGACCTGGTGGAAGAATGTAGAGGTTTCTTTTGTTTGTTGGTTAATGAGCTGATGTCTTTTTGCTCAGTGGAAGTGCTGGGAAATCACTATTCAAAGATTAATGACAAGCATGGAGATAGTGACGGAATATGTCTAGCGTTGGCACACTAGATCCTTGCCACATCTGGGGTTGTCTACGTTGGGGCTCGCGGGCTGGGAGGAGCAAGGTTCACAGAGAGACCACGAGTCTCTGTTAAACACAAAGCAGGTATGAACGAATGCTATCTGGTCACCTCGATTAGATATGCACCGCGAGTAAGGGGCTTCTAACCCACAGAGAGAGAGAGAGAGAGAGAGAGAGAGAGAGAGAGAGAGAGAGAGAGAGAGAGAGAGGTGCTCAGAGAGAGAGAGAGAGGTGCTCAGAGAGAGAGAGAGAGAGAGAGAGAGAGAGAGAGAGAGAGAGAGAGAGAGAGAGAGAGAGAGAGAGAGGTGGTGAATCCTGATGGAGAGAATTAAGTGGCGGCTGAAGGAGGGACACTTTTTCTTGACGAGCAAGCAGTCCCTAAGATGAGGTGGTGCTAATGTGCGGACGAGAAGTCTTCGTGCGAAACCCTGTTTGCTGGTCATGTTTATTCTGCAGTGATGGTTTCGCCGTAATGGTGTCGTCAGGCGGCGACTCGCATGTTTTATTATGGGTTTCACTTTGAGGGGCTCGGTTCGTTTGTTCCCTGATGAGAGAAGTAGGTTTGAAGGACAGTTGGGCTCCTCGACACTTCTGAGTCTTTCTGACTCTTCTGAGCCATTTTTCGATCGCCGATGATGTTGATGACTGAAACCGGACTTTTTGCTTGAAAGCAACAACTGCCAAATGATCTAGAGTACGGCGCGAGCAGCGATTGGCTATTTGACTTTGGCTATTTGGCTAAGTGGAAAGGTGATGCCGCAGCAACTGAGTGTAGTGGCTATTGGATATTGCCTTTCGGAGAAGTGCAGCTGATTTCTTTGACAGCTGGCTTTCTGGTTGTGTCATTGTCGATTATGTTGGTTATCGCCGAACGTATCGGCAATCGAAAGCTGGTATCGCTCGAAGTGGTTGCGGCGGCTATGGCAAATTTATACTAGGAGAAGCTACTGACAGTGTGCATGGGCTATTGGGTATTGGTTAGCAGAACCTGCTTGCAGCGTCTATTGGGTATTGGGTATGGGCTATTGGATATGGGCTATTGGCTATGGGCTATTGGGTCTGCATGCGGCGTCTATGGCTAATTAGCTAGTAGAAGCTACTTGCAGTGTGCATGGGCTATTGGGTATTGGCTAGCCGAACCTGCTTGCAGCATCTATTGGGTATTGGCTATTGGGTAGTAGAAGCTGCTTGAAGCGTGCATGGGCTGTTTCCTATTGGCTAGTAGAAGCTGTTTGCAGCGTTTATGGGTTATTGGCTATTGGCTATTGGCTAGAAGAAGCTCGCGGCCGGACGATGTATTGCACGTCTCTTTGCTTATGTGGCTGTTCTTTGTTGTTACCTGTCAATGTTAATGTCTGCCTCTGTTCTGTGCATTGTTGCATTATATATTGGATATTGGCTAGTGGCTAGTGGGTAGTAGAAGCCGCTTGCAGCGTATATGAGCTATTGGTTATTGGCTATTGGCTAGTAGAAGCTGCTTGCAGCGTCTATGGGTTATTGGCTATAGGCTAGAAGAAGAGGCTCATGTATATTGCAGATCTCTCCTTGCTTATATGGCAGTGCTTTGTTGCTACCGTGACATTTGTTGATGTCAACGTTAATGGCTGCCTCCATTCTGTGCACTCTTCAAGCGTCGACATGTTTTGAAAGGGCTAGGATCATCAGTTTCCAGTTTGGGAAAGGCATTCAGGATCATCAGTTTCCAATTTGGGAAAGGCATGCTGCGCTGACATGACCCTAATTTTATTTTCGTTCTTTTTTTTTTCGTCCTCTCATTTTGTTTTTCTTTCTCTTAAGTGCCCCAACGTTTTTTTTTTTTTTTTTTTTTTTTTTTTAAATTATAAAGCCTAGGGTGTTGTAGAGGTGGCATACTAGACAGATGGCAGTCACCCACAGTACTCGGCCCACTCGGGTGTCCAGATGACCCCACTCTGAAGACCCCACCCATCCTTCCTCTCGTCTTTTTGGCCTTTTGATCGCCAGGTGTGTGTACACTTTGCTCCTTTTTTATTACCTTTTTTTTTT